GTAGTATAATTTTCCCACAATCATATGAGTTGAGCTGACGTTTCCATTGAATTTCACATAGCCTTGCTTTCCCACTCTGGATGAGAACAACTTTTGGGAAAGCAAGGCTATGTGAAATTGAATGAAAAACGTCAGCTCAACTCGTATCATTGTGGGAAAATTCTACTACCAGTCCTTCATCACCTTACACGAAATATGGCGAATACATCACATTACACATTAGTTTGGCCTCCAAATCTTTGATAGCCTTAAAATGTCATTATTCAGGAAATTCTGGTAGCCTCGAGGCATATTCAAAGAAAAGAAAGAGACCTGCATATCTTTGGGGGTCGAGACAAGCCATTAAAAAAGTGAGCTCTTCCCTTTCAAACGCTTATTCGACGTCAACATGAATTGGGGCTGATGCCCGTTTCAAGGGTTGGTGATACTTACCAGTTTCCGGATGGTGCGACCCAAACGCCTTCGACTGGGTGGTGCCTTTTCTCGCTTGCCTAAAGGGCAGAAAAAGAAAAATTAAATAACAATTTAATTTCCCCTAAATGCATAAGGCAATGAAAGAGTAATAGTGGAATTTAATAAAAATGAGAAGATTAGCCCTCCTGATGCCATTGCATTTCCCTTAGCAATGTCTCCCGAGAGCCATTCTTATCCCGATTCGACTCGACTAGAATGCAGTTTCGACCTCGTCTGAATAGACCTCATCAGCGGGATTCGAACCCTAGCGATGGTAGTGCAGTGTATACTCTTGACATGTTAAACACAATTCTAGAATGGATATATATCTATCGATCTATCCGTATATATTATAGGAATGGACTGCAGTTTCGACCTCGCCTAGGTCTTATCAACACCTGCAGCGGGACTCGAACTATGACTGTGCCGCGTGTAATCTCGACACATTAACCACCATGCCTCATTGCCACGAGTGAAATGTTACTGGTTCTCTCGAAATTCTACTTATAAACGAAAAATAAGTTCCCACTTGAATGATAAATGGGATAAACACGTTTGGTGTCGGCGTGTCTAAGCACATACAGTGCGACTTGCATAGCCCCCATCAGGCCCGTATGCGAGTCTGGAGGAGCAGCAGCCATTCAACTCTGCTCATCCTCTTCGAGTCGGCCGCATTTGCACAAGATGCTCTGTCCACGCTGCTCTGGAGGAACTGGCAGAGGCGGTAGTTCGCGTGGCTGCAGATGACGCCGCCTTCGAGGCTGGCGGATAGGCGTGCGCACTCGAGTTGCCACCGCAACAGAAGCGGCAGCCTTGCTTTCACGACGCATCAACGCTCAATCCCGACGTAGTGACACAAAAGCATCTTCCGCCAGAATCACAATCTGGGCCTGGCCGAAGAATTATTTCAGAAAAGTGGTATTTCCAAGAATCCACTTCGAGAATGATGTCGGCTTACTCGTAATTTCGTTGGAAGAGACCTCTTAGCAACTAAACGAAAGTTGCCCCACCATCCGCCTACTCAGAGATTCCTCCAAGTTCAGCTTTTCTTCATATCCTCAGAGAAAGTAATGGCCAGGTTGGTTGACCAAATCCGTTTTTGAGCTGAAGCTGATCACGCAGAAGCAGTTCGGAGCTTTGTTCCATTTGCAGACTGCATTTGTCGCAAAGAACAAAGCGAGTTCATTGCAGAGTGTCTCATGATTTAGGCGAAAACCCACTTCAGGCAAGTACTATAACATCAGATTGTTTGATAAA